AACAAGTTTTATTAAATTAATTGTATCAAATAATGTCTGCAATAGAAACTATACAAGATATTATAAACCCATTACTAGAACATTTAAGAATCAGCAATGAAACTATTTCTGAATTTGTCAATAATGTTGCCAAAGGTCTTGTTGATTTTTTAAACAAGAGTGAGGTAATTGAATACCTTGCAATAGAAGCCCAGTATTATATGAATATACATTATGATTTTTATATTCTTGCTGGAAAGATTCTTGCAAAGTTTCAACAAGAGCAAATTCTTGTTAAATTCTCTAAACATGTAAAACATCTTTATGATAATTATCATAATGTATCAGATTTTGTAAAAGAACATATCCCATTGATAAGAAAAGAATATCATGATATTGTAATAAACAATGCAGAATTCTTTGATTCTCTTATTGATTTTAAAAGAGAATATGATCATGGATACATAAAATATGCATGAAATAAAGAAAAATTTTTTTTGAAAGTAGAAGAAAAAGAAGTTGATTGTGTACAGTATGTACATATGAGATGTGCATTACAATTCTATTATGATGATTTTGATTTACTTGTAAAATGTTACAAGAAAATGTCAATGACCAAGATAAGCATGCCAACACCTATACGCACAAGTTTATGCATGACAAAGAACCAACTTGCCAACTGTTTTCTAATTCAGATTAAAGATGATTCTATTGAAGGAATTTTTGAAAGCTAAAAGAAAGTTTTTATGATATCTAAAACTGGTGGTGGAATTGGTATTGATATAACAAATATTCGCTCAAAAGGTGATTATATTAAAGGAACCAATGGATACTCAACAGGTCTAAACAAGATGCTTTGTGTTTTTAATGCTATCATGAATTATGTAGACCAAGGTGGTAATAAATTTAAAGGTGCACTAATGGTAACACTTGCAATCTGGCATCGAGATATAATAGACTTTTTGTATATTCGCCATGAATCGATAGTACCAGAATTACGTTTAGCAGATCTGCATCATTGTGTTTCAATCCCAGACTTATTTATGAAACATGTACTAGAAGATAGTATTTGGACCACCTTTTCACCTAAAGATGCAGAAGTCTTTCTAGGCAAAAAATTGAATGAGATGTATGGTGATGAGTTTAAAACTGCATACATTGCATGTGAAACCAATCTTCAAAATACAAAAACTTTCAAGACACGAGAATTATTTTTCGAAATTAACAAGTTGCAATGCACAACAGGAGAACCATTTATCTTTTTTATTGATAATGCAAACAAGAAATCCAATCAAATGAATCTTGGTACAGCAACAACTACCAATCTATGTACTGAGATCATTGAATATACAAATGGGATTTCTGTTTGTAATCTACAAGCAGTGATCCTCCCAACACATATTTCGAAAAAAAATACTTTTGATTTTATAGAATTACAAGATTTAGTCTGACTTCTTGTAAACTCTTGTGATAGAGCAATTGATCTTACATATTATCCACTAAATGAATGTGAAGTCATAAACAAGAATGACTAACCAATTGCTATTGGAGTGATTAGTCTGGCAACTCTTTACAAAAAATTCAAATTATCATGGAAAGACAATGAAGCATATGAACTCAACAAAAGAATCTTTGCACATATTTATTATACAGCATTAGAAGAATCATGTGAATTGGCAAAGAAATATGGTCTATATGAAGAATATAAAGGTTCACCCATTTCAAAAGGAATCTTGCAATTTGATTTATGGAATTCTGCTCCTTGTGCTGAACTCGATTGGAAAGGATTAAAAGCAAAGATTCAAAAATATAGTGTCAGAAACTCATTACTAATTGGTCTGATGCCAACAGCTTCAACATCTCAATGTATTGGCACAGGATTCAGTGAAGACCCATTTTCAGAAGAAGCAAATTTTGTTATTCGTGAAACTACAAAAGGAGCCTTAATTTATATCGAATGTAAATTAGCAAAGATGTTAATCTCACATGATCTTTGGTCAAATGATATTTTTGATAAGATTCAAATGAACAATGGTAGTGTTCAAAATTTAACCCAATTTCTAAAAGAAATAAAAAAGGTATACAAGACAGCATTTGAATATCCATACAATGTAATAATTGATCATGTATCTGATCATGGAGTATATATCAACCAATCACAAAGTCTAAATATTTATGTTATTTCTAATGATCCTAAAATAATGATTCAACATCTTTTTAATTCACTTGTCAAAGCATGAAAAAATGGATTGAAAACTGTTTATTATGTTAGATCCATGTCACTTTCTTACCCTCTAGATATAAATTCTAATAGACTCAAATGTACTGCTACTATATGTAAATCATATGCTATATAATTTTGGTTGTTATTGCATATATTAAAATAGAATAGATTTTTAAATATTCTCATATCTGAATAAAAATCTTTAACTGTCAACTAAGAACACAATCAAATATAATCAAACTATAAAGAGTAAATTAAATCTCAAAATAAAAGTTTATTCTGAAATTATTTATGACTACAAGAAGAACATAATTGGCAATCAATTAGATTTAAATTATTTATAATTATATATTTGTATATCTTAAAACAAAATTTTATTTTTTAGTTAAAATTTCTAGAATTAAATTATTTTGATTTTTAATATCATCAAATTTTCTGTTATTTTCTTCAATTTCTTTTCTAATTTCTCTAATTTCTTTTTCTAATTCTTTATTGATGTTTTCTAATTTTTCATTGTATTTTTTCAATATTCTATTTTCTATTTCATATTCTAAACATTTATTTTTTTCTTGTTCTATTTTAATCTTATTATTTACAAGTATATTTTCATATTCGTAAACTTTTGGAATAAAATCTTTGATTAAACAAACACAGATTTTGTTTTTATCACCTGTATAATTTTCTAATTCATTAATTGCATAATTACTTAATTCAATATTAGAAATAAAAAATGCAACATGATAATTTGTTTTTCTTTTTGCTGTGTTCAAAAATTCTCTAACTTCAGATACTTGAATTTTGATATTTCCACTTCTGTATTTACATTGAGCAAACCAATGTAAATGCTTTTATTGATCTATATGTTAAAAAATATTAGTATATCATTTTCATAAAACAAGTAGACAGCAATATATAGGCGATTAAACAAAGTTGACCTGATGAGTTACATCAGATATGTTTCTCACTCAACTATATAAGTACTATAATTCTATCTAGTTTCAATTTATAAAATTTACAGGCGATTCAAACAAGTTATGCTGATGGAATTTACACCAAATGGCACTGCCAGTCTGTTTGCTCACTCAATTGTAAAAGTGGATCAATACTAAGTAAACGATTGCGTACCATGAAGATCTGCACATCTATCAGATAATTTTTTATAAATTTCTTTAGAAAAGGAAATGAAAGTTTGGTTCATTTTATGATCATTCTATTATGACTTGCTAGTTCATAAAGAAAATATTCAAAGACTTTGCCTTTAAGTCTTTTTTCATAATCATTTTTTGCAGGTTTATTAAAATCTTTAAAATCGATTTTTAATAAATCATGAACAAAATTTTTGAATGTTTTATTGATTCCAGGATATACAAATGACATTTTGATAGAAAAAAAATCAAAAAGTTATAATATTTATATATTTTTTATAATAAAGCTCATCAATATATACATGATTTATCAATAATATTAATCAGATGATCTTATTCAACCCAAACTTTCTATTATTATTTTTGTACTACTCTTTGCATTTATAAATAAACTTAAATTTTTTGAAGTTTGTATATTAAAAAAAAAATGTCTAAACGAAAAGAACTTTCTAATGATGATGAAATTTTCTTTAAAGAAATTCCTGAATTCAAAAATGAATACGATATCACTCAAAGAGAAAAAGGGCACAAACAATTTGGTTTTGTTTGTGTACTTCTTTATGATAAACGAATAAATACTTTTATTCTTGAATTAAGAGGAACAAGCAATTCCCAGTATAAAGAAAAAGCTTCTCCAATTGAAGGAAAACATGAAAGATACTTTGTGATCACAAGAAAAGTTATGAATGAATTAAATAAAGTAAAATCATTCAAGAAGATTCTACTTGAAATTGATAGAAATGATATCAGTAATGCATTGAACTCTCATGATGGTTTTGATAATGATGTTTCTATTAAATTAACAAATTAGAAAACCCCAAAGAATGACAATAAAGAATCAGATGAAATCTTTGTAACTGAAAATGAATATGAAATAAATTACATTCAAGAAGATATATTCTCTACAATGTATTGTGAAGTTAAAGAAGAAACTGGATTTGATGTAAAAAAACATCCATGTGAAATCAAGTATTTTGGAATTGATAAAAAGATCTTTGAGTCTAATAGGATAGTCACTCATGTGTATCTTATCATCTTTGACAGTTACGATTTTATTTCATATTCTAATGAAAAGAAAAAAGAAAATTCATTGATTGGCATGACTTCTTCTAAAATAATAAAATGTATTAATGAAGATAAAGACAAACCAAAGGATAAAATTTTTTTACTCCAACAATTTCTAATGTTTTTGAAGAAGTTAGAAAACACTGTAAACCACTTCAACAAGAGATAATTCT